TTCGATGGAGCGATCCACAGTCGGTCCTCTGGAATGCTCTTTTCTTGGACATCGACACTCTGCGATCAACTGCTGTCAGGACGAAGGTGACTACACAGGACATGCCTTTCGCAATATGACGCAAAGGCATTCAGGCCGGTTCAGGCTTTTCTTGGGTGGACCACTGGGTCTGGCTTCTTGGCGAAGTTTTCAGTGAGGTTCGTGAAGTCTTCAGACTTGACCCCCGATGTCCTGTTTTTCAGCTGGCAAGATGGTATGTTCGAGCACTATCTTACGCAGCTTCTTTGCGCGCTCTTAGGGAACTCCTGCAGAAATCTGAGTTGTTTGCCGCGTCTCAGATCCAGGAGTTTACACTTCACAGTGCCAAGGCTACAGTTCTTTCCATGGCTATACAGTTGAACGTTTCAGAATTTCTTCGTGCTTTTTCAAGGCCATCATCGCATGACGAAATTGTACAGTCGAGACGACCTTCACTATGCGCTGCAGGTTCAACGAAGTGTCCTTGATGCTTTGCGGAGTGGCTGGTTGCGTCGCATTACTATGCTTCGTGGTGCAGCTCCACCAGTGCAGCAACCGGCTTGTACCGTTCTCTCCTGCGTACCACCTGCTGCGGTTCATCCTTTCTTTGCGCCTCGTTCTTCTGAGCAGCATGGTCAGGTCGCAACGGCACCGCCATCATCTTCGGAGCCTGGTGATGTGCAGCAGGCGTCTTGCTCTGTCGCAATGTCCGGAGTCGACAGTTTCGTCAGGGCATTGCCTTCTGTGCTGCTTGATCTGGGCACTCCTGAGGAGCAATGCGTTTGAAAGGCTCCAAGCGGTGTGTACCACGCTGGGGACCCAGCTAAAGATATGCTGCCGGCCTGCGGTGTTCGTTCTGCTCGGCTGGCTCCCGGGCGCCTTTGCAAACGCCCCGCTTGTGTGAAGATTTTTGAGCTTCCTTTGGCGTGAAATGCAAAAGGTCCCACTTTTGGCTGCCTCCTCGGCTTTAGTTTTTCTAAAGCTTCAAGAGTGCGTTTTCAGTCGGGGAAGCACATGTGAGGGATGCGTGCGCGAGCATAGCATGCGTCAAGCTTGTTCAGAGCGGGGTGCAGGTACCTCAGCACAAGCTTCCCTGTTTCGTCCCAGAAACACGCTTGGCCAATTGGGCTTCTGCTCTCAGCGTTGCAGATAGTTTCCCTTGAGGTAACTTTCTTGCGTACATTTGCTGCGTGTTGCATAGGTTGATGGTGTCTCCTTTTGTGGTTCCACTGTTCTCTTAGGCTCCAATGATTGGTACAAACTTTCGGGTCTGCAATAGCTCCCTATGTGCATGTGCGCATTTTGCGTTTGAGGGCTTCGCTTCCGCTTCCTCTGCAACAAGAGGCGCTTCAGCAAACCTTCCGAACCCTCCGCTTGGGTGAGGCTCTGCGTGCATAGGCTTTGGTGCTTTATTGCAATCAGTGCCCGGCATGGCTTCCTTGGCAACAAGTCTAGGTTTCGATGTGGTTAGCGAATCATACTTAGCTCGGGCTTTCATCGCCTTGGCCTCGTCCGACTCGTGGAAACTTGCATCCAGCGCCGCCACTACCCGATCATACACCACATTCGGTCGCGCCTCGTAGTCGCCGTTGCTCTTCGCCTCCTTGACGATGGTGTCGTAGCAGCGGCGACGCGTACCTTGAAGGGTTCGGGCGAACAAGCGAAGCTTCTCCCGATCGCTACTCGGCTTCACGACCAAGCACACGTCCTGAAAGGACTCCAAATGGCGATCCAGGTCGGTATCACCATCCCCAAAGATGGGCAGGTCATCCTTCAAGTTGAACGTGAACAGATTTCTCGCTTCGCAGGGATTTGAGTTCTGCTGCTCGGTCTCGTGCATCCTGCTCCCTCTGGTTCCGCATCTCCTGAAGGATTGCCAACGCTCCATCGTGACGATAGTAGATCGCCACAGGATCTGCTCCCGGTTTCTGCAAGAGTCCCGAAATACCGGCGCCAATGCCTCGAAGCACAACGTCCGCTCCCTTGGCTTGGGACGCCGCATCGGTGGCAAACTTTTGGAAGTGCGCATAGGCGGTCTTGTACTGAGCCTCACCCAACATGCCTTCGGCGTAACTAAGGGCCTCATCGCGGCAATCGGCTCGCGCCATCTCGACTCCCTGACTAAGTCGGACCTCGTACTCGTCTAGCGTCTCGACATCTGGGTCCATCGCGCTTAAAAACGAGGTCTTCAACTCGGAGAGCGAGGCTCCGGTCTCGGGATCTTCGGCTCCCTCGACGGCTTCGCGAGTCAGCTCTGACCGATTTCCACAACTCCTAGAAACGTTCTCGGCCACAGCGGGGCCAGATGTTAGGGGTGGCGCAGGAGGAGACGCTCCCCCATACGCTGACGCCACCTGCGCATGAGCCGAACCAAACACGAGTGGCTCCACTCGGTGATAAAGCTCAGCTGCTTCCGATGTGGTAACAGTGACACCACGGCGCTTCAACTCCTGAAGGAAACTGCCATAGCGCTTGTTGCCCTGGCTCCTCAAGAATTGCCTGGTTTCAGTGCCACCCGATTGCGGGACCACTCGGCGAGGTTTGGCGCCTCGGAGGGTCAAGGCTTAAACTCCTAGGCCTCGGGCCAGCAGGCCCGGCTGCGTAGCCTCTTGAAGATGGCATCGCCATTGTAGCTGCTTGGAGTGATTTCCCAGAACAGCCCCCAACTAGAAGAAGGTCCAGTGGACCCGGGGGAAACGTCCAAAGCAGACTACTTGGGTTCCTTGGCCTAGCGCAGTCACTCGGTCAGCCGATTGTTTCCTTGCTTCGCTTGCAAGTCCCGGATCACAGTGCAACCGATCCCAATTGGATCGTACTCAAGAGCTCGCAACCTGCTGCGCAGCTGCAGTACGTTAACAGGCACTATGGCGGGTTTGTTGCCTTCGGCTAATAGCTCGGCTAAGCAAACTGCTTTGAGCTATGACCTACGTTCGAGGTCTACAACCTTTGAGTGTCCGCAGCTGCAGTCAAGATGACGTGGAGCTGTACAAAAGCAAGAGCAAACGACATGCAATTGCTACGTCACCGCATCACATGCTTCAATGATGCTTGCTGCAAAATGCAACCTACAGACAACGCGCGAAGCGAGGGGACATGTCTCTATCACACAAACACAGGCGCTTCCACTACTACTCGTGCTACTGCTACTACTACTACTACTACTACTACTACTACTACTACTACTACTACTACTACTACTACTACTACTACTACTACTACTACTACTACTACTGCTACTGCTACTGCTACTGCTACTGCTACTGCTACTGCTACTGCCACTGCTACTGCTACTGCTACTGCTACTGCTACGACTCCTCCTCCTCCTCCTCCTCTCTCCTCCTCCTCCTCCTCCTCCTCCTCCTCCTCCTCCTCCTCCTCCTGCTCCTGCTCCTGCTGCTGCTGCTGCTGCTGCTGCTGCTGCTGCTGCTGCTGCTGCTGCTGCTGCTGCTGCAACTGCAGCTGCAACTGCAACTACAACTGCAACTACTACCACTGCCACTACCACTAGCACTACCACTACCCATACGGCCCATGCGTTTCCTATTGAACGCTGTGCTTTTTTGATTTTCCACACCTTCCGACCTTCTCCCAACAGCCGAAAATGCTGTTATTTACAGTGTTTTCTGCTTGTGTATGGAAGTGCTATCTTGCATTTGTTGCATTTTCCCATGTCGACGTTGTCGACACACAATCCTTCATATGTTAAATTTTCGCATAGACCTCTCTCGGGTTACCCTTGCATTTCCTATGAGGGCCTTGCATTTCCGTCTGAGGACCTTGCTCCAAGATTTATGTCTAAAGTCGGCTCTGGCTTGGCTTGGCTTGGGGAGAGGGGGTGTGGGAGGGGGGTTGGCTGCGACCATGTCATTCCAAAACACCGGTATTTACAGCGTTGTTGCTCCTTTATACAACATGCTGCACCAGGATATTTGACGTTTCTGGAACAAGATGCACTATCACAAGCCTTTTGCCAACATGCCCACAACACTGGAATGTTCAGCGCGTTTGCCTTTTATAGAATATATTGTGAGAGTATTTTTGATGTTTCTGCAACTAACCAGATGCGCTGTAGCATGTTACATGCCTTGTGCGACTTTGGGCTTTAGGATTCTTGGTTGCCGGCCTTGGGCCTTGAAACCCGAAACGCCCGGCGTGGTTCAGAAATGAGCATTGTTGCCAGAAACACTGTTTTTGTACCGATGAAAAACGACCTCCGGATACTACTACTACTACTACTACTACTACTACTACTACTACTACTACTACTACTACTACTACTACTACTTCTCCTACTACTACTTCTGCTACTACTACTACTACTACTACTACTACTACTACTACTACTACTACTACTACTACTACTACTACTACTACTACTACTACTACTGCTACTGCTACTGCTACTGCTACTGCTACTGCTACTGCTACTGCTACTGCTACTGCTACTGCTACTGCTACTACTGCTGCTGCTGCTGCTGCTGCTGCTCCTATCTCTACTACTACTACCCGGCGGCGCGTAAACTGAACCCTTTTCGTTTGTGAAGCATGTGTTTCGCCTAGGCGGCAGCTCTATTTTGTGGTTTAAGGACCCTAAACCCTAAACCCTAAGCCCTAAGCCCTAAACCCTAAACCCTAAACCCTAAAAAGTGTGTACGGTTAAAGCGCCGCTGGCTACTACTACTACTACTACTACTACTACTACTACTACTACTACTACTACTACTACTACTGCTACTGCTACTGCTACTGCTGCTGCTGCTGCTGCTACTACTACTCCTACTGCTGCTGCTGCTGCTGCTCCTATCTCTACTACTACTGCTACTACTACTACTACTACTACTACTACTACTACTACTACTACTACTACTACTACTACTACTACTACTTCTGCTGCTGCTGCTACTACTACTCCTACTCCTGCTGCTGCTGCTGCTGCTGCTACTGTTGTTGCCGAACGAATGGAAGCGCCGGGGCAGGCCGCCATGGAGGCTGGCGACTCTGAGCTGATCTTGAAGAGCACAAAGGCACGATGCTGAGTGGGTTTCCCCACCCTCGGTGTGGGGTTGTTAGATGTTAGACTAAACTCTCCTTTGCCGGTCTCCTCCTCGCCCATTTCCCTTCTATGGGAGTATCCCCGAAGAATCCGTGGAGTGCCCAACCCCAGAGTATCCCCCAGAGAATCGCGGGCATGCCCCAGAGTAGGACGGCCCGCAAATTCCAGATTTGTAGGGTGGGGATGTTCGAAGCAAATAACTATTTTTGAGCATCTTGTTGCAATCAGCCCGAGCCGTCCCTTGCCCAACTCACGCAGCTGCTAGGCGACAGTCAAAGTCACCAAGGAGCAGAACGAGGAGCAGATCTTGTGAGTGAGAACATTGAGGCTTTAATCACATCTCACGGACTTTTTTCTGTATTCTCACAGGGGTTCATCTGCAGGAAACCAAGAAGCTCCTCCGGCTGATGGGTGTGCCGGTGGTGCTCGACTGAGAGGGACATCCTCAAACAGAGGCAGCATGATTGAGTGGCTCTCATAGAAATTCGGAATCGTAAACGGAAACCCCGGCATGAGGTCGATGCCCCGAGTGAGGCTGAGGCGTGGAGTCCTCAGAGTGAGGGTTTGTAGGGTTCGGGCTTTAGGGTTTCTACACGCCCCCCGCAGTTCTCCACCGATTTTGGAGCGACTTGAGTCACCTTGTCAATGCTAGCTTCGTCTAAGGAAAAACGGAAAAAAGGCAGAAGACCTAAAGCCTGTCCAAAAGTAATCATTGAAATCGACAACGTTGAACAGAAATAAATCGCACCTCCTATCCATCGTAGATGTTGTCATCGCCCATTTATGAAAACTCTAGTGATAAACTTGAGCGAGTGATTAAAGCAATGACAGCGAAGAAAAGAACAGGTTCTTGATCAATTAGAGGGGCGTATCTTGTATCCCTTGCCGAGAAAAGCGTCAGTCATGTCAGAAAGAAACGAAGACAGTAAAGGACAACAACATAGTAGCCACCACGCATACTGTCAGTGATAAACGGGGCTGTCGCCCACAGCCGGCTACGCCCCCAATGCAGCAAGGTGTGGGCGCAAGGTGAAGGGCTCGATTTTGTTTCTCTGGGGACCAGGGAGTCGAGGCGGACTGGCTGTCAGGGGATTTCCGGGCAGTTCCGTAGGGACGCATGACCTCGAAAGTCGCTCAACAGGCCCGTGGTCACTGAGTTCACGCGGCGCGGGTTCCACGGTCTTCCAGGGACAAGCCTCCCCTACCCACACCACCGCCCCAGGGTTAGCGGAGGTTCAACTGGTAGGCACGTAGCCCCCGATGAAAACAACATATCCAATCCGATGGACAATCTGAAGTGTTGAAATATGTAGTCTTGGATTGGCCGAAGAATGTGAACAAAGAATATCACACATTGAAACAGACTTCGAATGTATGAAGAAGGAGATAGATAGAACAAGGAGATTAATCCAGTGGTCCAGCCCAACAGCCAGCAAGACAGACATGATCAAGTGGCGTTCCGTGCAGTTCCGGCGTTCCGTACGGTTCCGGCGTTCCGTTCCGTTGAGGCGTTCTGTTCCATTCCGGAGAAGGTCCTGTTCCGGTGCCTCTCCCTTCTGACTCCTCTTACCCGTTCCGTTGCGGTTTGAGCTCCGGAGGCTCATTTATCCCCCCACCTCTTAGCGACAGAAACCCAACGTTTCGGCGGTTCGGAATTAACGAACTAAAGCTTAAGCTTCTCATTTTTCTACAGTTGCTCAGTACTATAAATGTATGGGTTTGTTTCGAAATATCCTCATCCAAATGCCGCGAACGAAGTGAGCCTGGAAGGCTTTAGGGGTGTGGGGGGAACTGGGTCTGTTTCTGTGGTGTTTTAGGGTGGGGTTGGCTTGTGTTCCTGTGGCGCCGCCGGAAGAGAAACTGCGACCGGCTGATGTTCATGATGTCCACTTTTCGGGGCGGCGGGGCAACCCAGTAATGTCGACGGTTTCGCCTCTGGGGCTGCGGGGTTTGATAGCGACTTCTGGCTCGCGTCGAAACTTTGTGCCCCACCCTGTGAGTTTCAAGTGTTTTAAGACACGAAAGCACTTGTGATCTTGAACGAAGAAAGATTAGCATGCGTACTTATAGGCCAAGTAAACGGCTTCGATCATTGTTTGAGTTTAATCATTGAATGAGTTTTTAAAACGGTGTTGCCACTGAATGCGCCACTTCTGTTTTCAATTAGTGTGTCTTTATACTGCTTAGAATTCTGTTCTCTCTTCTGCAACCATAGTTGGTAATTTACTATTGCCCTCACCTTTAAACCGACCGAATCTCTTTTATATGTAAGACCATCACATGCATGGTCTTTAGAATTTAGGTAATCGCTCAGTCCATTTGGTCGCTAACCTCTTTGAAATAATGTCCATGTGCTTTTAGTTTTGGTATGACTTACCAAGTTATCCGTGTCAGGGCAAATTAGGCTTATGTCATCCTTTGTATCTTTCAGGATGCCACTCCTGCGAAAATGCGCTCGGTTAGTTTAGCCTTGTTCTGAAATTTCTCCACTCCTACTAGATTGTTATCAATAATGTGTCTGCGTTTGAATGTAGAATCATTAGCGCATGTATCGCATGTTTCTTGTGTATCTGCGAATTCAACCTTAATCTGCATTCTGACATTTGCCATGGTCTTGCCATAACAAGAACGGTACATAAACTTATGCATATCCTTTTCAGACAGAGTCGTTTGTTTCCTCCTTCCTCTTCTCGGTGTCGAACTCAATCCACGGTTTCAGCCACTTCGTCTGTCTGACTGCGAATATCCCCATGAACTTTATTCAAGACAGTTTCAGACCTTGTTTGAAATGAAGCTGTACGAGACTGATTGGGCAAACATAAATACAAATTTTCATAAGGTTTCATATTTACTTCTTTGCTTGTTCATCTTTGGTGTCCTTGTTTGTGTGTTACTTGCAGAATCTGGGGTGCTAGTGGATACCCAGTATGTTTCTCGTGTTATCCTTCACCAAAGATTGATGATTTGCTTCACGTTTATCTTAAGCTCGACTGGCACATGCCACCACTTAACCCGCTACTTGCAACCATCTTATAAACCATATGTTCGTCCAAATCAAGTTTAACATTGTCCCTCCAACAAAAACTGGGCATTGACATATAATGACGGGTGGTTTGAAAAAGAATGCTCCAAACCTTTCATTCAAGTGATAATACATCAGTCTGGACGTGTAGGTTGTGATACTGACCTAGGTTTCGAACACCGTATTTGCCCTATCGTGTTCGGACTGGTAAATCCCTTCCTCTGTTAGTTCAAGTCCTTTTTACGTAGCGAGTCTTCGTTGCATTTGCTAAAGTCAATCAGTAATCGTCGGGATGTCAAGTAATCTAAATCCTCATCGTAATTTACACGTATGCTCCTTTCTGCCATTCTTGCCTCTGCTCTTCGTTTCATACTGGGTTAATTTAAACTTATCCGATGAAGAAGATCAGAAATTGAAACTGTCATTGGTTACATGTTTTCGTTGTTTGCATGTTTCCGCTGTTTTGCCCGATTACGCATATCTTATCATATCTTGTCCTTGTTGACGTTTAACTTCGTCTAAGTGTGACAGTGCGTTATATTGTTTGGTTTTTAGCGGCAACCACCTTTTCCATAATTTGGTCTTTGATTGTTTTAATTCATAGTCGAACAGAATCCATCCTGTTGACTGTTGCCTCATGAGTTATGCTATTAACAACATTTGATCAGCATAAAGCCAAACGAGTTATGATGTTGATGTGCCCACTTGATGCCTTCCGGTGATGGTTGTTAAACACAAAGCAAAAACATAAGCGCACTTACGTTTCTTGCTTTGGAAACTCATTCTTTCGTCTATTTGGTGAATATCGTTTGCCATACATTTTGACGACAAGACGGTTTAGTCGTTTTTCTTCTTGTAAATCCCGTTGGCAAACCTGCAGTGAAATAGCTTTTTTCCGATGCGTGTTGGTCAGCTCCCGTTATAGCCAAGATAGACCTGACAGAAAACTATGTAATCAATGTTTCGAAGGACAAGCAAGATATACAGAGAACCACCGAAAGGAGCTGAGGAAGAAAGCAAAAGAGCATTGTTCAGACAATAAAGGATAGCACATGGTTGTGTGTGTTAATTAAATTGTGTGATATGAATAGATAAGGGGTAACGCTACCCATTGATTCTATTTAGGGGTAGGGCACCTTTATTTGGTTGTGTGTTGAGAGGTCAGCGCGCACTACCCCCTTCCCAATCCCTGCCCGAGGTACGGAATAGGGAACATGAATATAGAATTCGAGAGCATCCAAAAGGCACAGTTTTGGAACATCGAAAGCTTTCCGAGAAAACAAGAGAAACTTTACACGAAGCACAGAGTATCTGATACAAACAAAGAACACAAGGTGGAGTGCCATATTTGCAAGCATGGAAAACGGCGTGTAGAAATCCAGGAGCAATCAAGCAAACATCAAAGGTGTTTCAAAGAATCAGAATCATAACAGCCATTTTGTTTTAAGCAAATATGGGTTTGTGTTTTTGGGGGGGGCCCAGGCCAAGGGCACACGGGTTGCACACCCGCGAAACATACCCCGAAACATACCCCCGAAGCATACCCCGTAACATACCCCCGAAATCGCAGGTAAAGTAGCTCATGATGCCGCGAAACATACCCGAAACACACCCCCGAAACATACCCCAAAAACATACCCGCGAAACATACCCTGATCCCAACACCTGTCGCCCCCCCCCCCCCCCCCCCCCCCCCATGATTACACAAGCCCATATACTATTATCGTGGAACACCCCAAAACCCTAGAACCAACCCAAAGTCAATAATCACCCAGACCCAGGGAAGTCCAGTTTAGGCTTTATGATCAGCCATTCTACACACTGCCTGTGGAAAGGCAAATCCCCTACACGCACTAAAAAGAAGAACAAGCAAATACCCTTGAAAAGCAGAACGACACAGAGTAACCAAATACTCAGATGAGACGTACCAGAACTAGGGTTAGACAAGAAGCGAACGAGAAAGCAGGTTTTAACCAAACGAAGCAATACTCAAAAAGGAGCCATAAAGTAGTTGACCACAACAAGAAGATTGAACCAAGAGAAGAAGAATTGAAGGTTGATAAGCGGTAATGAATCGAAAAGACAAGAGACTGTGTTGAAAGCCAAACATATGAAGCAGGCACGGCAACTCCTGACGACCCACTCCTCGCAATCCCCTTTTCTCATAATTATTGGAGAGGTGTAGTGGTGGAGGGGTGTACGGTCGCAGGCGCGCGATGCTTTGTTGCGCGGCCCGGCTCGATGCGGTAACGTTTCGGTGTCGTTTGTTGAAACGCCCTGCGCAGGCACAATCCAGCGAAGTCACTAGGGTCTCAAGGTGTGATGGGTGAACAATACTAATACTGGATCATGAAGGTGGATTCCAGGGTCTTTGAGGCAGTAACAACAATATGATTAAGGGCTCCAAGTTCCTGGATGATACGGTTCATAGACTCATTCCACGCCTGTAAGAAGTGTTCATCTCTAGCCCCTGTTCGTACGCTACAACCGCCTATTGAATGAATAACCACCCGGGCTGGTATTAAATTCTTAGGTGTGAACAATGCATGAATTTGTGAATGAAATGAGCACATGAATGCAGTGAAGTGAACACACTAATAATTTGCCTTTTCCGTTGGCAGGTTATTCACGGGCGAACACAAGTCTTTTATTGGCCCGTGTTAACAATTAAATAGAAGTCTTTCTACGCCCCAAAATATAAGTCTGTTTACTGGGGCGTTACACATGAACTGAACTTTGAGACCCTAACTCTCGTATCTTGGTCCTTTTGGTATCTAGTTCACGTATTCACCTCTATCACCAGGGCCTTTTCCACCGCTTGATCTTGACATGTGATCCGCTCTCTGGTCCCTTGTTTTTATCATTCCGCTCTCATTCTAATTTAAACTGGTGCATGATTAGAGTGAAGAGAGCGCACTTATTATAATTAAGGGGCGTTCTCATTCTATTCACACGGCATAATAATGATATGACTAGCGCGCGCGAACTTGCCTAATAGTATATTGCAATGGTGTGAATGAAGAGAGAACGGGAAAAGACCACTAAAACTCGTGACTCAAAAATCCACCCTCGGGACCCCAACATGAGATAATTATTAGAAACCCGTGCAACCAACCTGGGGTCGGCATCGCGACATCGGAGCCATGATCCCTCCACTGCCCGTATACCACACTAGCAATCGAACCGTGGCACGCGGTCTTCCCCCCCAAAGCCACCCGAAGAGCCACCAGTGCGGGAAGCAGCCGACCACTCATATAGCCAACACAGACCATCTTACTTGCAACAACAACTGCTCAAATCACCATCCGGACCTCGAAGAAGCCGAGAGATCGCCCAAATCCCCGGGGCCCCAATGACTTCCCAAACCGAACGGCGGGCCAAACATACCTGTCCCACCCTCAGCAGACGATGGCTGAGGACATGCGCCGCGTTGTGCCGTGATGGCAAGGTCTATGCAGCGGCCACAGAGGCAATGGAAGGGGGCGCATGTGTGGACTGTGTGTTTTAGACTGCTACGGATGTGGGCGAAGATGCATGATTAATGATGCCTGGCATGCAGGATGCAGACTGCTTAACTTTCGGCACGAAGATCCTTATCAGGCAACATGGAGAGGCATATCATATCTTTGTGTTCCTTTGGAAGCCTTGCGCAGTGCTTGCAGGAACCTCATGGCCGCCGAGTCACAAAAGAAAACTATTCTTGAGGCAAGATCTTGGTCATGATTCGTGCATAAGTCTGGATGACACTGGAAAGAGCGAGTTGCGGTCCTTGCTGCGAAAAGGTGAACCTGGAGCTTGTGCTGGAGCAGCATCTTAGCTGTTCTGAGTCACTTCTGGGCGGGGAATAATAGCAACGGTTTCAACAGGTTGAACATCACCATGGACCAGTTCATTGACTTCTGCATTCTCTGCGGCTGCGATTATTGTGACACACTGAAGGGTGTTGGTCGCAGCCTTACAGGGGACCAGACCCAACATGTCAGCTGCGCGCATGCGGGCGGCACGTACATTCTCGAAGAGCGGTTAGATAGCTTGAATAAGCCCAGGTCCAAGTACAGCCATTAAGCTTCTGCTTCAGCATGGAACGCTGGAGAAGGCAAGGTCGCTGTGCTTTCCCTTCATCTGGCACGGCACAAATGTGCCTTGAAGTTGAGCCGCTTGGGGCGTCAGGTCATCGAAGCTTTGGGGTTCGGACCCGAGAAGCAGACCTGAACGAAAGTAGCATGAAGGTTATAGCGCTAACCTCGGCTCGGCTTGAGGAATGCATGGTATGCCTTTTGAAGAGACAAGTCGACATCATCGTTATCGTTTGGGTGCTGCTTATGTTGGTGGTTTGCTGGTCCTGTGGTCCACTTGGCTGGTCCTCTGCTGGGTCGTCCAAGTGAATGGTTAGACAACCAGCCCCATCCTGAGCTAATCTCCGAAGGAATCTTAATTTTGACTTGGAAGAGCGAAGGTTCAATAGAACGAAGCCAAGCAAAACAAAGTACCTGAGCAACTCTCCACCACCCCCCCCCCCCCAGCACCTACCTCAGAGCCGGCGCCGACGGGCCCCGAAAAAAGTGCAAAGATGTCTCCGAGGTCCGAGAAGGTCCCGGCCAACTTTCGCTACGAGGCCGGGCTGCGCAACAATTGGACATTGGCATAGGCCCTCTCGTAGTCTAGGCCCTCCTGAATGTCTTGGAAGCGGGTCGACATTTCGTCTATGCAGTGATGCAGCGAGACCGCTCCCAACTTTAGACTCAGATGGCACAATTATTTCAACTGTTCTTCACGAGCTCTCGCAGCCGTCCTGGCGCACCGCTCCTTTGTAATGGCACCGCAATGCAGCACTGTAGACGCCGCAAGCTGAGGCGCAATGCTGATCGCACGGTCTTTGTGCTTGCTCCTGTCGAGGCTGCTCGGATGTTCTTCAAGGAGTGTGAGGCACGTAAACTTTTCCTCCTTAACCCCTGGGGCCAATCACTCTCGCTCTCGCTCAAACCGGAGTTCCGTTCCAATTGTACCTGAGGCGGTGGACACGGGCAAGTGCGAGTTTGCTTTCGCAGAACCCGACTTCGAGGGTCTCACGAAGTTCCTGGTGGAGGCGACCCGCCTCAGAGCGTAAGTCCATGTCCCCCCGAACACCACATAACACCACGAACAACAGCTTGAGCATGCCGTGCATGATCATACACCTTCTGATGAAATTGTACTTTCCCTCCAAAATCATTCGGTCCCAAATCCTCGCTCAATCCGACTTCAACCACAAGCCCTTCAGCTGAAAAGCTGCGCGTCCTTTTCATGCCTCGAGGCCCAAAACATCGCAACATCATGAACCCAATTGATTGGGACTCAAGACCCCTCGAGACCCCAGACCTCGAGTGCAGGAGTGCTCCTTCAGCAAGGAGCGTGTAGAACGCTATGTGGAGCGACTGAAGAACTCCAAGCCGTTGCCTCGACGAAGCTGGCAGTTCAGGGATTATGAGAGGGTCGCTACGGGCCGCGACGGGTCAGGTAAGGATTTGGGAGCATTTTGGGGGCGGGTGATTTTCGGAGCTCCCCAGAATTTCGCAGAGTCAGAATCGAGTCGAAAGAGCGTGCCGCCGCTGAGGAACCGCACCAAGCAGAGGCCTTTGGACATGTTTTTTGGTGCCTCCAAGGCACGGCGTTTGTGCTTGTTTCCTGGAATTGGAACCCCAAAAAATCACACTCTTCCGATTCCACTCCTGTGCACTGTGACAGCCTGGCAGGTACAGATCAAGGAGTCAGACAAGTAGCAGCCCAAGTGGGAAAGCTGCACTGCGTGGTCACTGCACGAGGAGATGCGAAGAGGTAGCTGTCGCACGAAGGTTTGACCCGAACAAGAAGAAAGGCGGCCCGAAGGCTCGCACTGTTTGTGGACAGCAGAATCTCCCTCATGCTCTATCAAATCTATCAACCCTTAACCCTGGACTGGACTGTAAACCTGCATCTGTTGAGTACAATGTGCCTTTCTATGGCCTCTAACCATCCCTCAAATGTGAGCACCCACAAAAATTGTACCGTCGAAGGCCGATTGATTTCTTCAATCTCTCGGAACCAAGATCTTGCGCGCAAGGCTGTTTTAAATCCTCGAGCCAGGATCTGAATCCTAAGAATCCTGGGGCAATCTTGGATCTAGCCTCTTACCATTCCATCCCGCGTCTAGGAGCTGCCTGAAGAATATGCACTCATGGTTTCATGAGTTTGCTGTTTGCAAAATCATACGAGCATGATCTGTCACACTACGCCTTGTCCCCTCCAAAACCACTGCCCTTTTCGACAAACGGAAGCTGCAAGACATCGTCCGGCAAGCCCTGAAGCCTTATTCTCCTGTAAATATGTGTAAATGGCCTCAACCCAAACATCAGAAGCAGTCGGGTGGACTGCAGTACCTCTCTGGAGCGAGAACAGTGCATAGTCAGCTTTCTGCTGTGACACATACCCACGTCGAACACACACTCCAACCAAGCCTCACCAGCATGTTGCCTAGTAGTACACCTGCATGAAATGAGCAAAATGCTGTTAGGACGGGCACAAAGAACCTGAACTATAAAGTATAATGAGAAGTATAGTGAGACTACTTCGTCGTGTAAACACTTCACTCCTATCACGCAAAGCTCTGTCTGGTAAGTGCTTGAGTCTTCATGCGTGAGACGCACATCTACATCCACGCTCACGCGGCATAATTGTTCTTCATATTCTGCTGGAGACTTGGGTTAGTTAGTTGCTCGCAGTTACTCGCTGTCATCAAGCTGGCATTGGTATTTCATCTTCGCTACATTCCAAGTGGGAGTTATGTTGGCTTGGCTGTGGCGCTCAATTTCTCACAGGATGTCACCACAGAAACCACGCTATTCAGGAAACTGATTTCACTCGATTCAGGAAACTGCCTGAAGACCATGCGATTCAGGAAACGGGCCCATTCAAGAACTTAGCTGGGGTGGTGGGGTGGTGGTGTTTGGGGGTGGGAAGGTTCGGATAAGGTTTATGTCACCGGTGCGTTCATGCCCACGCGTTTCCCAGCTTCCCGAATCCGCGGTCCCGAATCACGAATCATTTTTATCCAGTTGCCGAATCCGCCCGAATTCGATTTCCGAATCCGCGTCTGACCTGGAAAGATGTGAGATTTCAAATGATTTCCACAGGGCCCAAACCCACTCCCCTTTTGGTGGGGTGGGTACCATGCAGCTTTCCCCAAATACGCCGAATAGGGCAGACTGACTTGTTATTAGAAGGAGGAAGTTGTGATATCGTGAAGTTCGTCCGAAACCCTGAGTCCCCAAAACCGCCTTGAAAAAGTCGCCCGTTAAGACTCTGAAAGCTGAAGTGGAGTGTCTAAGTGTATAACTCTGTATAACAGTGTCAACAATGTCAATAGCAAAGGCCGCCGCAAAGGCCGGCACCAAGCGCCCCGGAGCTCCAGCCGGTGCTGCAGCGAAGCGCGGCAAGAGGTCCCTTGTAAGGGCGCCGCTTTGGGCTTTGGTGCATCATTGGGGCTGCAAAACTGTAAAGTTGTTTTTTGGTTTTAAAGAGCTTGGAAGGCTGTCAGAGCTTTTGGGCAAATACCTGCTAGGTAGAGCTCATTGCTGTGCCAGGTAAGGGCGGCCGCCAACGCACGACAACACTAATGAAGGTCTGTACGCGATCCTGGGGCTTTCGGGGTGAATGCCGCTTTGTGCCACCACATGTCAGTTTTGGTGTCCTATTGTGCATGCCAAAAATGCACTGCGGAAAGTGTCACATGCGGCTTAGGTGTAGGATGCTGGTGCTGCGCTAGCAATGGGCAATCTGTTGCATGCAGCTCCGGGATGCGCCGGACCAGCTCCAAATTAGAGGCCGTGACGGGCCGTGTCTAGGCTTATCAGGGCCATAAACCGCAGCACATGAGTTATTTCACTGGCGCACCCGAGTTTCACTGCAGTCTGGGCTTGGTAGGCGGGGGTGGGGTGTTGCCCGTGAGCCCACGTGCAAAAAGTCTACGTCAGCGTTTCCATATTGACAGCACATGCTTGCGTTTGCAATGTATATTGTGCCATTGCACAAAGTTCGACAAGCAATGTGCTTCGCTTGCGCTGCCTGCGGGCACAGCAATATGCAGAGGTGGATGTCAACAACCCGGAGACGTACGCACTTCTGCGCAACGTCAATCGCGACGACAGCCCGGCGTTTGTCCTTTGCAGCGTGATAGGGATCTCTGACTGAGACACCATCTACTTCGCAGCGTGACACCCATAACGGTGGTGGGAGGAGCCTGTCAGAAAACTGCGGAAGGAGCTCTTCCGAACACAGCAGTGGGTCAAGGATCCTGCACGGTTGTGACCTAGTCGCCTTAATCGTTCATTCTTCCAGAGTTCGACCTGAACATTCTGTGACCTTGGCAGTACACCACAGACGACTATAGCGCAGCAGACACGGAGTACAATCGAGTCAGGCGAGCTCTTGACGAGGAGCGAATCAGTGTTGCAAATTACTTCGTAGCTGGCTGAATTCTTGACCATGATGAGTTGCTCGTCCTTCAGGAGGATTCACAGTTTCTGCTGCTGTCAAGGTACTTCGTTGCTTGCAGCTATGGCGTTATGTTATGTTGGGCACTACGCAGGAGATGTTGGGCATGTCGTGTCATTGCACCCATGAGTCACGAGGATCATGGGGGATACTTAGTGCTTTAGCAGGAGCCCTGATTCAGAAAAATCATGATAATTCCGAGATTTTGCTGATCATGATAGAAGGCCGCTTTTGCAGCTTGGGCCTGTGAAGGTTCGACGGTCGCGTGCCTACTGCCTCGGTGCGAACAGCCCGCCGCAGCCTCCAAGCAATCATCGACGCACTAGGCACGAACTGGGGAAGCCATCTTGATGCTCAATGCAAGAACGGGCGGTGCTTGCTCAAAGTCTGGTCTTAGTCATGAGGCCGCTTGAAGTACAGTCTATCTTTGCCTACAAGTTTCCAAAATCTCTGCTACTACTGCATGGCCAGATGATCTCTTGGCGCTGGTGCCCACAGCTGATCAAGAGGCCTTGCTGAAGGGACGAGGGACTGTAAGTCCAAGATGCTTTCAGAAACTAGCAGGATCTCATTTACAACGCGACCCATCAAAAGGTGATCCTTGCATGAAGCAGCATGTTGCTTGATTTCCAGCAGGCTGCGAAGACTGTCGCGGAGTCTCGAGTACTCCCAACAGCAACGTCAGTCCGGCACGAGTCATGTTCATTTCGCATCTGGGCAGATTGTGAAAGTTGTTGATACCTGCCGCAGCGCAATTGGCCCAACACACATACATACGCGCATCTTGATAGTTTTTTCCATTCAGTGAGATCCGGGTACAGATGGCTCAGATGGCAGAGGGGAGGAAGAGACGTCCTCGCCGCCTGTTGGTGGGTGCGCTGATGTGTATGATGCTGCTTGGCCCTGTGGCCCACGGGCCCGCAATGCTCGGACTAAACACTGCCTCAGGCGCAGGAGCTGCTATCGAACGAGCAGGTGGTATGCGAATCATGCTGGGTGCTGCAGCCATCGGCGCCGTTGTTGGTGGCCTAACCCTCACTAACCTTCCCGTCATCAGCACGTTCAGCGTCCCACTGGGCGCAGGGGCCGGGATTTGGTGTGCACAGCTGCCAGACGATGCCGCCCCCCCCTTTGGAAAGGCCGGCGATATTTGCCGTTCCTTTGGGCATGCAGCCACCATCTTCTTCAAGGAGTTTCAGTCCGAGTACAAGAAGCAAAAGGACAGCTGAGCGCCAGCAAACAGAGCCTGCTTGGCAACAGTAGTGAGTAGATTAGCGGGTGACCCCGCAGGATGGGTTCGGTGCGACCTGCAACAGTCCTTGGTTTAAACTGCATTCAGTGACAGGCCTTCAGGAATCCGCAAAACCTCTGCGACGGAGTTGAAGCTTTGCAGTTAGTCTGTGAGATTGAGGTTGGCATGATGACAACAACCTGGCGTTTTCAACTAGCAGAACTGCAAGTCATGACAGGCTGCCCTTGCGAGCGCGGAAGCCGCAGAACGCCACCAACGCCACAAGCACTTGCCCCAGAAGCTTAGAGTGTTTCTAAGACATTTGTTGCGCTTCCTATTGTTGCATGTCATCCTGAACAAGAGCAACTTGACCACTGCTTAGCAGGGAGCACATGGCCATGCCAGGGTTAGTGAAGTGGAGCTGTTTTCCAGCTCTCCTGCCACCCGCCAGCACAGGCGCGCAGTCCAATGTCGGGACTGCAGAACAAAGCACGTGTCTCAGTTTATGGTGCGGTATGTGGAGTGCCGGCACCCAGCAGCGGTGCCAGCTGCGATCAGTATGCACATGTTTGTGACGTTTGTAGGCAAAGCAGACGACAAATCCCGCCCTCCCAGCAATGGCTGAAGCCCCAGCGAGAGTGCTACATGATTTGCGCTTGGGACTTGGGACTGGCATATCATTGGCTGTG